CTTTTGACCGTTACATCAAGTTTATGCAGTGAGTATTTGCTGTGTTGACCCTTCTTTTTAAGACCTGCAATTCGCCCTGACATGCTGTCAATCAGCTTCTGGTCTACATCCTGACTGATGGCAGCCTATTCTTGCATTCTTATTATACAGGATTTATATAGCGCCAACAGTTTGCTCAGCGCTTTACAATATAACTGGAGACAATACAGCAACAATACAGTTCACTACAAGAGGGATAGGAGGGCCCTGATCTTTGGAGCTTACAATCTAGGAGAGAGGGGCTATTGGTACGAAAGGTAGTAACTGGGGGATGGACTGGTTGGAAGAGTAAAAGATTAAAAGATTCCATTATTAGCTGAGGGCAGGATAGGCTTCCTTGAAGAGATGGGGTTTTCAGAGATCGCTTAAAAGTGAGCAGAGTAGGTGACGTCTGATAAATTGGGGTACAGAGTTCCAGAGGATGGGAGAAGCTCTGGAGATGAGCATGGGAGGCAGAGCTAGAGAGTAGTAGTTCTTGCAAGGAGCGGAGAGTACGGTTTAATCAGTGCTTGGAGTTTGTCAATTTGTGTGTGGTTTTTTTTTTTTTTTTTTGTTCACACGCAAGTTCGCAATGGGAGTTTCCTGGCCATGGACCCAAACTCTTGAGGTTTTGTTCCCCAAGCCACTTTGTTATCACTTTTGTCTTGTGGCAAGGTGCTCCATGCTGGAAAAGGCATTGTTCATCACAAAACTGTTCTTGGATGGTTGGGAGAACTTGCTTTTAGGATGTTTTTTGTATCATTCTTTATTCATGGCTGTGTTCTTAGGCAAACGTTGAGTGGGACCACTCCATTGGCTGAGAAGCAACCCTACACATGAATGGTCTCGGGATGCTTTATTGTTTGCATGACACAGGACTTATGATAGCGCTCACCTTTATCACCAGACAAGGTTTTTTCCAGATGCCCCAAACAATTGGAAAGGGGATTCATCAGAGAAAATGACTTTACTCCAGTCTTCAGCAGTCCAATCCCTGTGTCTTTTGCAGAATATCAGTCTGTCCCTGATGATTTTCCTGGAGCAAAGTGACTTCTTTGCTGCCCTTAACAGCAGGCCATCTTCACATCAATGTGCATACAGATGCATTCACACCTGCCTGCTGCTATTCCTGAGCATTCCCTGCATTGGTTGTGCCCTGATCCCACAGCTGAATCAACTTTAGGAGACGGTCCTGGCGCTTGCTGGACTTTTTTGGGTGTCCTGAAGCCTTCTTCACAACAGTTGAATCTCTCCTTAAAGTTCTTCATGATCCGACAAATGGTTGATTTAGGTGCAGTCTTAGTAGCAGCAATAGCCTTGCCTGTGAATCCCTTTTTCACAGCAAAGCAATGAGTGCATGTATTTCCTTGCAGGTAAATTAATATTTGTGGTGTTCTCAATGTTTGGCCAGGGCTATACGCCAGCCTTTCTCAACCAGGGTTTCCAGGCATCCTGGGGTGCCTTGAGGTTTCTTCAGGGTTGCCTTAGCAAAATGTCTAAAAATTGCCCAAAACTTGTATACAAGCCAGTGGTTGGAACAAGCCTGCTTTTTAGTTACAAAGTTCGTGAATTTTCATTGTGCACCATTACGACTTTCTAGCTTCCGGTGTCCTGACAACCAATTACATTATCAGTTGATGAGGATGTCAGCTGCCTGCACAGCATCCTAGTTTGACCCTCCCCTGCCCCTCTCCATCAGTGCTGGGGTCACATTAACTCAGTGATGGAAAAAAATTGAGGGGGAAGAGAAACATTGGAATACTAGTCGGCACCAGGGAGCAAAAGTGTTCGCTCTCGAAGAATAAATCGCCTAACGTTGGGTGTCCTACATGTCTGGATGTTGCTGCGTTATATAAAACTATTAGAATAGTTTTTCACATTTTAGAATGGGGTGCCCTTTTAAAATTATGGACAGTCCCAAGGCACCCTTTAAAATTATGGGTGCCTCAAGACTTTCCACAATTTTAAATGTTCTCAGGACTGTCCATAATTTTTAAAGGGTGCCTTGATTGAAAAAAGGTTGAGAAACACTGCTATAAACTTTATCCCAGCATTTAACTAATGCCTAGAAAGCTTTGGCATAGACTTGTCATTACTCCTGAACCATCCTAGGACAACCTGCTTCACTTTGTCATCATGGTGTTCACTGTTCCAACAGAGATTCGTCTCTTGTGCAATTTCACTACAGGTTATGCATCTATTTTTCCAGATCAGGTGTACGTGCTGAATGTTCTCAGGAATGACTTCTGTGGGTTGGGAACCACCATGGCCGGGATTGTCCCTGACGGATGTATGCCAATCTTTGAAGCAATTACACCATTTAAATGCCTTACTGCAGCTGGATGTCTCATCACCATACTGTGCTTGAAGTCTTCTGTAGATAGGGGGGTGTGTGGCCCAACCAGTATTTCCAAATATTCAGGTCTACAATTCAATCAGAGCAAATAACCGGTGTATAGCGCAATGACCCTTGCCCAAAGTGCTAATCGATTATTTACTTGTGTTCACCTTTTAATAAAAAATAATGTGGTTTTGTGTTGTGGTTTTGTGTTGTGGTTTTGTGTTGTGGTTTTGTGTTGTGGTTTTGTGTTGTGGTTTTGTGTTGTGGTTTTGTGTTGTGGTTTTGTGTTGTGGTTTTGTGTAACTGCATTTACTATTTTTGTTTTGAGCCTGTTGAGCATTGCACCAGTGATCAGCAGATCTCCTGAAGACTGTCAGAGTGAGCTGTCTACCCATACCTTGTAAAAGCAGGCAGTTTTACACTGACAGGAAGAATAGAACTACCACTGCTCAACAGTGCCATGGTAGTTCATTGAAAGCTACAAGCCAACAGCCAGAAAGGTTATCACTACTTTTAGTTCATTGATTCATAGAGATCTGTGAATCAATGGCACAGCCAAGTGAGTGGAGCTTTGCACTGCCACGCTCTTTAAAATATGGTAGTGAGTATTGGGTAGTGAGTATTGTGGGGAAGATCCCTGGCTCGCTGCCACAAGGAGGAAGGGGGGGGGGGGGGTTTGTCTGATACTGAATGTTTATACCCTATGGAATATGTTCAGAAAGGTGCACTTATCCTTTACAATCCATGTAAAACCCCAGTTGAGTCGCTTTTGTACTGCCTCCAATTTCTCCTCCTTTAGCTGCAGAGGCAGCAGCCAGGGGTGTACACATGATGCTTTGCGTCACAGCCACAACAAGAGTTGTATGAATGGGGCTGCTCTGCAAACGCCCTGGAACTGAGTGCAATGCACATGGTTTTAGAACTTGTGGAGATCAAGGGGTTAACAGGTGGCTCAGCACCTCCTCACCACCTTTTATATATGTTCTCTGAACAGCAATCCACAAGTGTGAATGAGCCCTTAAACCTAATGTTTTACCAGCGACCTTTGGGTTGCTTTACATGCACATATAACCAGGGGCCATGTGTAACTACAATCCTATGCTTTTGATCACTATACCATAAAGGTCAAGTCTTATTCAACCTCAAGGCTGCACTTACACAGGTGTTTAGCCACTCTGCGAATCCCAGTGGAGAATTGATCCCAGGAGACCCACATTGCAAGGGTTAGCTTCTTGTTTGTCTAGGAAGGAGAAAAAATTTTTTTTTTTTTTTTTTTACCTGATCCTCCACTTCTCTGGGAGACTGTGCTCCCCTATGCTCTGGTGTTGGACTGTCCTTTGGTGGTCTCACATCCTGTGCATGGCTATGGTCCCTGAATTAATCTTGATGATATCCGAGGACCTTGGACAGCCGCAGCCTGGGGAAAGATTGCAGGGACCAGTCTAGCGGCACAGGAGTCTGCAGGAACAGAGGATCAGGTCCGTAAAACTGCTTTCGTGTTCTCTGAGCAAACCCTCCCATTTTCACTTGGCAGTAGCTGTCTACTCCAGTGATTTCCAGTTTCCACATTTTTCATGGTGGATAAATACTTGTATTGATCCAAACTGGACCAATGCAACTATGCAAAAAATCTATACCTGGAATTTGGTTTAAAGTGCCATAAAACAGAGAAGTGACTTAAGCACCAAAACTAAAAAAGGGAAAAAAAAAATCTTGTATAAAAAAAAATACAAATTTTATGGAACATGGTACATCAATTATCACCGAAAACATTGTTTTTTCATTGATTTCATTCAATAAATTTTTATTTTTTTATAGTTTTGGTCTTAAAAAGGTGTGTGTGTGTGTGTTGTGTGTTGTGTGTGTGTGTGTGTGTGTGTGTGTGTGTGTGTGTGTGTGTGTGTGTGTGTGTGTGTGTGTGTGTGTGTGTGTGTGTGTGTGTGTGTGTGTGTGTGTGTGTGTGTGTGTGTGTGTGTGTGTGTGTGTGTGTGTGTGTGTGTGTGTGTGTGTGTGTGTGTGTGTGTGTGTGTGTGTGTGTGTGTGTGTGTGTGTGTGTGTGTGTGTGTGTGTGTGTGTGTGTGTGTGTGTGTGTGTGTGTGTGTGTTAGTAAATATAAACTGCTAAATACCTTTTTCTCATCAGCAGTTAGAGCAGTCTTGTGACTTCCATCAGTGTCCAGCAGAGCACATGTCAAAGCTTGTAGGAGGAGCTTTTCTGCTCTAAGAATGCAGGACCTCTGTCTGCAATCCTGATTGGCCCTGTGCTAATCACATGTACTCTCCCAAGAAGAAAACCTGCACATGCTCAGTTTGGTGTGTATTGCTAGTGTCTCCACACTCTTATCAGGAGATAAGGGGGGGGGAGCATCAGAGAAATCAGGATCAAACCGCATTACCACAATGCAGAGGATTAACCCTTTAGGTTCCACAGGGAGGTACAACAAGAATCCTTAAATGCATATACAGACTGATTTTACTATTGTGGGTTTAGTAACGCAAGTTTGTGACTGGATCTTGTTAACGTACACTGGGTTTGCAAGCAAGCGCATTATGAATCTAGTTTGCATTTTAAGCCCTTGAAGACAGTTTTGACTAGAGCAGTACACTGCTGAATCTTATTTCAATGCTGCTTGCATTTTCAGATGATTGACACGCTTGTAACATCAGAAGCTCAGGACCTGCTTCACCAGCTGAACTCACTCTTGGAACAGGAGCTGAAATGCCAACCAAAGGCTTGTGGTTTGCGGCTGATTGAAACGACTCACGACAATGGCCTCCGGATGACTGCCCAACTTCGTGACTTTGAAGTGAAAGATTTGCTTAGCTTAACTCAGTTCTTTGGTTTCAATACAGAGACATTCTCCTTATCTGTGAACCTTCTGGACCGGTTTTTAGCTAAAATGAAGGTAAGCAGTTTGAATCTGAAAACATTGTAGATGCCAGTACTGGACTGCTGTGTTTGATGTCTGTTTAGTAACATTAAGCTGGCCATACAATAGCAGTTTGTTAGAAAGTGTTCACTTTTAAGAACATTAATTTGATTTGTTAGTGGGGTCACTTCAGATTTTCTCGTCACTTCAGTCAAAAACAAATTCCGAAGAGCAGTATGAAAGAATGTTCTCGAATTTCTGACTGTGAATGTGATTTCACTCCCAGAGCAAACTTTAAATCTTTTTTTTTTTTTGAATGGTGTTTGACATGCCCATGAAACTGACAAACCTTGGTACCCCAAATTTCCCTTAGGTGATGCTTTAATATGTACAGGGCCTTTCGTTTAGCAAAAACCAAGAATATCTGTAGAAATGGTGCCCTCAATCAGGTGTGCATGACTATGTGGAATTTGTAGCTAGTTCAGTGGTTTTTTTTTTTTGGTTTTTTTTTTTTTTTTTTTTTTACATGGGCGCCTTTTATTTCTGAATGTACATATGTGAATGCTTTAAAGCAGTGTAGAACTCAGAACGTAATATATTGGAGCTTGCCAATCAAGCAACCCCCCCCCCTGTTTTACCTGCTGATCTGGCCAGTAACACACACTACCTGTAGTAATGAGACCTTAATTCTGGAGGAATGAGGACAGCAGCATTGAGTCTGGAGGGAGAAGTGTTAAATATACTGGCGAATTTAAATACAATAACCAAATGAAGCCAAACTCCAGCTCACACTTTATATTCAGTTGAAGCAATAGTTTTCCTTTTTGGGATAAGGTTTTACAGTACAGTAACCTTCCACCTGCTGGCATTGGATAGTCAGGCTTGGTGCTTCTGTGGCATTCAGGAAAAGCCTTGTGGGGTGTGTGGGTTTTATATATTTTTTTTTTTTTTTTTATCCAGCAGCTAATGGGAAGTCGTCTGTACAGCTTCTGGAACAGGGTTGCTTGCTGTATGTAGTCAGTGCTGCTACAGTACATTAACAAACACACACGCGCTACATTACTCAGTAATAGAAATTGTTCACTTTGGGCCAGCTTAGCTCAGACTAGCTTTAAAGTGCAATAGTGTGAAGGGGGCCTTGTGTTACTGCTTGGAGTGATTTTATTGAGCCCAGAAATGCACCTAAATACTTATTCTTTCCCTCTTTTGTAGGTGCAGCCAAAACATCTAGGTTGTGTTGGCCTCACCTGCTTCTATCTAGCTGTAAAAGCCACAGAAGAGGAGAGAAATGTCCCCCTGGCAACAGATCTAATCAGAATAAGTCAGTACAAGTTCACTGTTTTTGACATGATGCGGATGGAGAAGATTGTGCTTGAAAAGTTGGGCTGGAAAGTGAAAGCTACAACTGCATTAAACCTGTTACACCTATACCATTCCCTTATTTATGCGAATCTGTCTAGTGAAAGGTAAGCTTTTTTTTTTTTTTTTTTTTTTTTTTTTTTTTTTTTTTTTTTTTTTTTAACCCACGTTTTGTTTTTTTTTGGGGGGGGGTTTACGCATGTGGCCTTTTGGCGTTAAGGCCTAACGAATATATGCGTGCGGTCAGCTGCAAGCAGTTAAACAAATTAAAGCAGTGCCCTGGGCAAAATTTCTATTTCTCCATGCAGTGGAGCTGTGCCCCCACTGCATGGGTCAACTGTTTGTTTTTTCTCTAGGGGTGAGCACAAAGCTCACTCGCCTGACTGTCTATCCTCTGGAAAACTGCAATTTTCCCATGGTCCAGCAGTGGACTTTTCCTGTTTTGTGGAGCATGCTGATGTCAAGAGCTGTTCATTTTACAAGACCAATAGGCCATCTAAATATCTCTGCTGTCCACTCCCCTAGAACCAAAAAGCAGTGCAACTGTGCATTACGGGCACAGCCCCACTGCATTGCATGGGCAAAAACAGTTTTGCCTGGAGTTCTGCTTTAAGATTGTGTTCAGTTAGGTATTGGTGGTTTTTATTAATACTGTTGGTGCTTTTAGGTGTTTGTGGTTACACTGATTAAAACATTCTGAATATAGGTTTACTTTTTTACATTGATCATTGATAGTCTTAATCCTAGACGATCTGTTTAAAATTTAAACAATATAGTTAGTAATCTGCTGAATTTTACATTACTTAGCAGCCCAAATATGTATGTTTTGTTTACGAAAGGGAACCCGTCACAATAAAATTACTGTACAGAGTTAATTATAGAAAACAAAGATCCTAGTGCCAAAGAGTACAATAGTAAGCACTGCACTCGCCTACAACTAGTGTTCTATTTCCATTAGGCACAACTTATCACCATGTTTGGTGTTAAAAAAAAATTTTTCTTTTCCTCCTAGGCAAAAGCTATTTACATTAGAGAGACTTGAAACCAATCTGAAAGCTTGTCATTGTAAGATTGGATTCTCCAAAGCAAAGGTGAGTCATTGAAGAGGTGGGACATGCAATTTAGTATACATACACTGTATATCACACTTTTATTTCCTTTTTTTTTTTTTTTTTTTTTTTTTTTTTTTTTTTTTTTTTTTTTTTTATTCCATGCAGAAATTTATAAGCAATAAAATGGTTTTGCACTACCCCATGACTGAAAGGACGATTACCCTATGTGCTCTTGCTATGCGCATACATGAAGTTCACAGTATTGTGAAGAAATGTGGTATTACCCTAAATACAGTTACTGAATTTCAAAAATGTGGAATTTGTAGTAATACAATTTTTTCACAATACTGTTGCTATATGTGCATACATGTCAGTAACAGCATGTAGCGTAATGGTCATTTCAGTCACGGGGGCAGCTCGACACCATGTATTTAAGTGGTCATTGTTGGAACACAATAGGCGTTAGCAGCTGCCATGTATATCTATTTTTTTTATTTTTTTTTTATTTTTTGTAGTGCAGAAGTTGATTCTTTCATTTACATGCAGAAATATAGTTGTCAAACATGAGATGCAATGCATTTTACAGATCAAGCATTTTGTTTTTTTCTTACTCAGCCCTCTGTGTTGGCCTTGTCAATTTTGGCTGTTGAAGTTCAGGAACAGAAGTTGCATGAACTGACAGATATGATGGGATCGCTACAGAAACATTCCAAAGTAAGATTTTGACTAAAAATGCTACACTCCAGGCCAACTGCTAAAATACGCAGTGATCTGCATAGATGTGAACAGTCTTAAGATTTTTCATTTCTTTAACCACTGCACTGGGAACAGGTCTGGTTTTTTTTTTTTTTTTGTTTTTTTTTTTTTTTTAAAACGTTCCCAGCTGCTATACCATCCAGGTGTCATGCTGACTGTTTCCTTTTACATGGAAGGGCATGAGACTATGAAGCCCTTCAAACAGCTGCAAAGACATGCAATCTCCCACTCATTCACAGATCTGCTGTCCTGGAAATGGACCAAGAAGCGTTGTGCATGATGTCGCTTCCTGGTCCAGCGTGGTTATTCCCTGGGGAAGCAGCCGATGGAACACTGTTCCATTAGATGTGCATGGTGCCTGTGTGCCAAGATGAATTCCTGCACAGGAGTTACATAATCCAAATACCCAGCTTCTAGAATGACAGGTACAGGATACTGCAGACATCCAATTGTTGAAGCTAAGGTGAGTATCCGCAGCTTTAGCTCTGCTTTTAACTTGGTTTTGTGATCCAGCCACTTAAACATACAGGTGTGAATGGGCAGTTGACGCCCATATATTTCCTGTTCCACCTTAAGATTCCCCTGATGTTTCATCACCTGTCTGAAAACTGAAGTGGAATCCCCACACTGCTGATGTATTGTCTTGTAAGCAGGGAAGTACTGTTTAAAGCTGAGTTGGGAAATATTGGAGCCCTTTTCAATGGGCCAGTTAACCATTTTTTATATTCATTTGTTTGAAATGGTTCAAGTTAAACCAAGTGAACATCCCTGTCTTTGGATTAGCTTTGTGGTTTCCAGTGGCACCTGTCTACTTGCTTACTGGACCAATTAACTTTTCAGTGAGCATGATCAATATTGAGTGAGCAGACAACTGATAAATGAAGTTAACCAAGAAGTTGCTGAGTGATGACTATGCAGTGTGGTAGGTGTGTAAATCACAAGACTAGGAAACCTAGGATATTCAGGTTGGTTGATGCTTCAGCAAAAGGACTTTGGGTCCCGCACTGATTATGCTTAAGCTTTTGCTTTTTAAAGGCCCCTTTCAATCTATGTGGGCATCCTTAAGATCAGCAGGGGATCAGAGCAGAATGGGTAGATGACTGGTCTGTCTGCTCAGACTGCAGAGGACATGGACTTGGCCCACTTTGCTCTATGGACCGGTGGATGTAAATAGAGTTCCCCTTCTGTGTGGTGTGGGTGTTTTTGTGAAAGTGTTTACGCCTGCTGGTTTGTGCAGGAGAATGGAGGGTCTGATTTAAGTCTGTCAAACTGACAGGTGGACCTGATAGGACCCTTTGTGTAAAAAGGCCTTGTTCATCCTTGCATAAAGGTGTAACTTTACCTTTTACTTTAAAGGATAATCCCATTTTAGAAATTTACAAATTGATTAATGTACCAGTATTTATGTAACTTGTATGGATGTGCCTTTGCCAAGAGCTTAAAGGGAGGGGTTTGGGCAAGCTTACCCTGGAACTATGCAGGCACCATCAGATGGGAAGTCAATTTGCTACAGTGCATACAAATCCTAACAACTTCTGGAGGAACCCTAGGATTTCAGAATCCTGGTTGAGTGGCTGCTATATACAGTTGGCTTAAAACCAGCCTGTCATGTGTCATCTGATGCAATCCTTAATTCATAAACTATTGTCCAGTAACTTATAGATTTTTATTTTGTCCAATAAGTGGTGTTTGTTTGTGTGGTTTTTGTTTTGTGGTTTTTGGTTTTTGGTTTTTTTTTTTTTTTTTTTTTTTTTTTTTTGCTCCTGGAACATTTTTAATGACGTGTATAAGAAAAAAGGTCATTTGTAATTTGGAGGACAGCAGAGTAACTTTCTATAAAAGTTCACTTTATCTGTCAGCCTGCAATGGGAATCTGTGAAAATGTGAACAGTCTTGCCTTGATAAGTCCTTACATGTCTGCTTTAGCACAGCTAGTGCTTCATGCTTGTCTACTTGTAATTTAAAACATAGAAATAATTTTTTTTTTTTTTTTTTACTTTTTTCTCTACCCATAGATAAGCAGCAGAGACTTGTTCTGTTGGAAAGAGCTTGTATCAAAGTGCCTTGCAGAGTATTCTTCAAGCAAATGTTCAAAGCCAAATGTGCAAAAGCTAAAATGGATTGTATCGGGTCGCACAGCAAGACAACTAAAGCACAGTTACTATAAGATAGCACATTTACCCACAATTCCTGAAACTGGGTCCTGATATTGTCAAAGGTAATTGTTACACTTTTGGCTTCTTTAACCCCTTCATGCCTAAGGGTAAAACCATCTTGATGCTGAAGCACAATTTTGCAACGTTTATATTTGTTAGTAAAACTGTACATATCATCACAACTACTTTGTACAGCCAGGTGAATTATACTGTGTGGGTTTTTTTTTCTTAAAATTTAATTTTTTCTTTAACTAACTCCCTTCCCCCCTCTATGCCAGGAGTTAGAGATACAATGTATTTCTCTCCTCCATTCATGGAGTGGGGCCAGGCTGTACAGCGATCATGTGACCTGGAATCGGGAGTCCCAGGTCCTGATCGTTAGAAAGGGACCCAGGGCTCTCGGTGACACCCCAGCCTTTGTGCGGGAGTGTGCTGTGTGGCATGCTCCCAGCGCAAAGACAGGTACACAAATATGCAGCCCCACAGAGAGCCCATTTTTGAGAGGCTGCATATTTGTGATGTCGGCATCAAGGGGATAAATAAAATCCATTATTTTCACCATCCGTAGAAGGAAGTGGTCTTAACGATGAGCGTTTAAGCCATGACATGCCAAACATTAGTCAGATTCTCAAAAAAACCTTCCAACAGCATGTAGGTTTAGGATGACAGATCAAATGACTATTTGTGCTAGCATAAGGTTGGCCATACACTCATTTTATTTTTGTGTATGTATGGTTGAGCCTTTTTTTTTTTTTTTTTTTTTTTTTTTTTTTTTAAATAGGAAAGTAGAGGGATTGGCAGGAACATCATCAAGGCTTTTAAACAAAGGAAGCAATACAAAGAACAGGCTACTTATTCATACAAGTACATAGTACAGCAGGCATATCTGGAAGATGAAATGTGTTTATGCATTCTTAAAGTAATGTTTGTTTTGTTTTTCTTGTACATGGCAATACATTTTTATTGTGTTCTTTTTCTACACAGGTTATACAAGTGGAAAGGTCATACGAATGATGTGATTTATAATTTTATGGACTTTGGAGCATTTGTTTGGAAAGCACAACTGTGAAGCCTAAAGAGAAAAATGGCAGCTAGTTTTTACATTGTTGGCTTAAAAACTAAGCAAGGAATGTTTTTGGTAGGGAAATATTTACAGTTTGAAGACTTTCTAATGTGCATACTGTAATAGAAAATGTGAATGTGCACTGTTAATGAGGCTGTATAAGCAGAACTTCAAAGTAACTAATCTACAAGGTCAATGTTGAGAACCAATATGGCTACATTCATGATTTTGTAAAGAGGGAGGCATCAAAGGATGGCTGCAGTTTCTTCTGTACATGCCTTTTTTTATAGTAATTAGAAATATTACAAGGATCTCTAAATCCAAGGCACTGAGGTAGTCTTCTCCACACCACTGCAATGCTCACTTTTTTTTTTTTTTTTTTCCTGCAGCAGTGTTGCAAAAAATTTGTAATCAGTCTTTGTAAGTGAAAACTGATCAGGTGGATTGTTCAGTGTTGGGCCTCCTTCTTTTTTTTATTATTTTTTTCTTTAATATAAAAAAATCATTTCAAGATCAGAAATCACAATGTCAACATCGATAGGTTTCCAGTTACTACAACTCCATTGCAACGTTAGTTTTTGCATGTTTTAATCTGAAAACTTGGTCAAGCATATACAGTTGATTACTTGCAGTGACTTGTACTCTTGCCACTTCATAACTTAGTGGATAGAAAGAGGAAACCAGTGTACTGGAAGTACTACTGAATTTAGCTTGAAATTCCATTCCCACTTGTGCATTGTAACAACCTGCATGTTGGTCATTCATTGTAGTGTGGTGGTAGCTCATTCTTAAGAAAAGGGCTGCCTTAATGCAATGAACATCAATATGTTGCCATAACATGCATAATGCATGCCATCACACAATGCTGAAGTGTGAATGGGCCCTAATAAAAGCAGGTCAAGAAAAATACACTACTATTTACATCAAGGATTGATAACATTCAGGTTGCTCAACTCCTAAGGAATCTAGCAATGCAAAATGAGTACGGAATGTTTGCCATCTTTGATCTAAATGTTAACCCAAGAAGTCCTGTGTATCTCAAAAGTTGAAAAAAAAAAGAAAATAATGCACTTTACTTGTTCAGTTAATGTTTGTTTGTTTTTTATTGTGACATTGCAGTGCTGAATATTTAATATATCTGCCTGCCTGTGCTAGTTTTGGAATTGAAACCTTTTGCAGTTGAACAATGTACAGCACTTGTTTCTGGACAAGGCATCGACACACAACTGTCTACTCCTGGTAGAAGAGGGCAAATCTCTGCTGTGTTATGGTGAATAAGGGCTGGTGTAGGATTTTAGGTACTAAACTTTTTTGCACACTCTGTTAAAGAACATGATGGACTTTAAGGTCTAAGGCATGTTTAAGTTTGTTGGTGAAACCTTAGCTGTTCATTTTGAAAACGCCTTACCAGTTTTGTTTTCTGATATCCTGCCAGTTTGTCTCCTACTCATTGCACCTGGTTTAATGAAGCCATGGCCTTCTAGGCAATGCCTAGTGAATAGGACAAGATCTTTTTTTCACTGAATTCCTTTGTGGAAAACCTAGCTTCTGTACATGCCCTAAAACCCTTCCAATGCCAGAAGGGAGATGGAGGGGGGAAAAAAAAAACAGTGTTTAAGGCTTTCTGGTACTGTCATTTGTGATAAATCTGTTTGCAGCAGATTATTGTAACTAGGGAATACATGGAACTGAAGCATATATGCTAAATTGATGTACAAATGTCACCTTGTATCTTTAGGGCAACACCATGCAGGGTGCAAATCTAGCCTCATTTATCAGTTTTGATATTACCTTTTCAGGTATCTTTTACAAGAAGGGTACTTTTTAACAGCTAGGTCTAATTTAAGGTTTGCATAGCCTTTAATGTATTTGACAAAACATTAAAAAAAAAAAAATTGGATCCTACAGTAGTTGGCACAACCGGTTGGCAGTACATATAGCCCAGGTCTCCCAAAATGTGGGGTGCTATACTGCAAACGAATAAAAAAAAAAAAAAAAAAAAAATCATCCTTCGTGGTGCTAGCCTTATGCCTTGGTCTCTTTCACACCAACACAGTGCATTAATGCACTGTACATGATATTGATGTGTTGCCGTGCCATTTTTTTTTTTTATGGCATCACAACATGCTTCCACTAGAGTACATTGTAGTATTGTACACAGTACATGCAAGATGTGTTTTTTACACTGCAAAGTGTCCAGTCAGTTGAATGAACTGTATAGCAATATTGGGAAGAGGCCTTTATCCCAGGTCCAGAAGCTTGGTCAGTCATTTGCTGTACAGTGCACCCCGAGTTTTGAGTACAGGAGATCAAATGCAGAATGTAAGTACTAACAGATCAAATGCTGCCAACCCCCCCCCCCCCCCCTCCCCACAAGTTCAGTAGAATTTAGATCTCATGTACACCTATGCTGTGATGGACCCTAATGAGGTTATTTTAAAGGACTGTGCTTGGTAAAATCACTCATGTAGTTTAAACCTAAAGTGCCCTGTTGCAGCATTTGTACAGTATGGGAAATGCTATATTTTAGTTCAAACAGGCAGTCTATAATTTGAGTTGGGCCAATGGTGAAATGGCATATTACCCATCACTAGTTAAGCTGCTCAGTGGTAGGTCTGCACCTTTTGGAGGACTAAAATAATGGAGCAACATAAACAGTGCCTCTGTTAATGCATTAAGCAATGTACCTTTCAATAAATGTATTGAAAAGAACTTGGTGTATTGTTTTTCTTCAGTCATTTAGTGACTTTCATTATAGGACCTAATTCACACATTGGGGGGATTTACTAAAACTGGAGCACTCAGAATCTGACGCAGCTGTAAATGGAAGCCCATTGGCTTTTAACTTCTGCTTGTTCAATCTAGCTTTGACAAAAACCTAGAAGCAGATTTGATTCTATGCAGAGCTGTACCAGTTTTTTGCAAGCTACAGTTTTAGTAAATCTCCCCTAGTGTGTTTGGGGCCACTCACCAAAAGGAGCAGCTGTGTCCTAATATACATCAATGATCTGCTTGCACACAGCACCTGGAGTCTAAGCATGCAGCAAGAAAAAAACAGCCATTTCACAGCATAAAAGGCCTTAATGAGCACGTACAAGGTTGTGATGTGTGGGTTTTTGTTTTTCTTGCAATTATATTAACCTTTTGTCATTTTTGACTAAGCTTGCACAATACTGAAGCACCAGATTTTAGGCAAATATCTTGGTCTTCCTTTTTAAGAGCAGTCTGGTAAAACGGTTGTCCAGAAAAATTTCTAATGCTCACACAAAACAGCCAGTGTCTCCCTGTCATTCTTCCATACTGGCTTATCAAACTTGTTCGCACTAAGTGGTTGGGGGTTGGTAAAACCACTCAACAGCTCCCCCTTAGCTGGAAAGGCAGCAGCTGGGGCTGTTCAGGTGAAACTCAAAATTTAGAATATCGTGCAAAAGTTAATTTATTTCAGTAATGCAACTTAAAAGGTGAAACTAATGAGACTCATTACATGCAAAGCAAGATAGTTCAAGCTGTGATTTGTCATTGTGGTGATTATGGCTTACAGCTCATGAAAACCCCAAACCACAATCTCAGAAAATTAGAATATTACATGCAATCAATAAAACAAAGATTGTACATAGAAACAATATCGGACCTCTGAAAAGTAAAAGCATGCATATGTATCAGTACTTGGTTTGGGCCCTTTTGCAGCAATTCCTGCCTCAATGCGGAGTGGCATGGAAGCTATCAGCCCGTGGCACTGCTGAGGTGTTATGGAAGACCAGGATGCTTCAATAGCGGCCTTCAGCTCTTCTGCATTGTTCGGTCTCATATCTCATCTTTCTCTTGGCAATGCCCCATAGATTCTCTATGGGGTTCAGGTCAGGTGAATATCTGTGCAAATCAAGCACAGTAATCCCATGGTCATTGAATCGGCTTTGGTTCTTTTGGCAGTGTGGGCAGGTGCCAAGTCCTGCTGGAAAATGAAGTCCGCATCCCCATAAAGCTCATC